TCTGAGAGGCACATGTGTCTAAAATTCCAATAGCACCTCACTCAGCCTTTGGAAAGTCTGGAAGGTGAATGATAGTAGCAGCATCAGTAAGGTGAAAATCATCCTAGCGTTTGGGATGATGCCCACACACGAATTTCTTAATATGGTATTTCTAGAACACTCAAAGAGTATTTAAACATTATCCCTATCCATAGAAAACATAGCTAGAAACCCACCCAAGTTCTAGGAAGAATATTTGAAGAGAAAAGACTAAGAAGATTAAAGACGTGCCTAAGAGGTCATTCCTGTCTGGTTGTCATACCTTTTACCCCTCTTAGCTGAAAGGATGAGTATGGAACTTGAGTTCATCTGAATTCCTCAGCTCTGTCATCAGCTGTGACACATTCTCATTTTCTGATTCATCTGTGATGAATAAGCACTCCCTTTCCTAGTCCCAGTCCTCAGAGTAACCAGTTTTGTGAGTTATGATGACTTTTTTTTTTATTTCATTATTGAATTATTATTCGCTCTTAGCAAAGTTGGTCTCACTCTTTGTCCCACCTGCGTTAACCCCATATGTGGAAAAGCCCAGTTGGTCAGTAACATTGCCTGAGCTCTGAGCTAGTTCAGAGTAAAAAACTGACAACCAGACTTCTGTTTTTAACCCAGCCAGATACCTCAGCTGGCAAGCAGCTCAGCTTCCTCACCATAAAATGGGTATAATAATAGCTTTCCCTTACCGCTGTGAAATATTTAGAATGCAAATCAAGCCAAACCTATCTCCTTCCAAAGCGAAGCATAAACCAGCCTGCATAATCCTGAATGAGTCCAGATTTCAAGGGAAAACATCAAGTGGGAAGCACCAAAAGGTGGCATAATTTAGTGGTTAAAGTATGTGGACTTTGGAATGGTACAGACTTACTCAGAGGCCAGCAGCTGTGTGATTTGGGGTAAGTTTCTTAATTTCTGAAATCTCCTCTTTCTTCTACTAAGTGCAGGGTAACAGTATTTTTCCTTACAGTGTGGGTTCAGTGATTCACTCTACCAGTGCTTCTCATCCTCGCACTCAGGCAGGCCTCCAGGTAAAGTGGTCCACCATTCAGGATGCCTACTGGGACACTGCTCTGTGTGCCCCAGACTGGACACTTCAGGGCAGCCTCAGGTATCACCCCTGGAGATACACATGGAGTATTTTCTTTTCACTCCTCAGTATATTTTTGCTTGTTTTACTAAAGTGGCAGTAATGCAAGGCCAAGAAGAGCATCTGTTTTGTTTCTTTTAAAACATCCAAGAGAAAGTTAATGGGGAAATGGATACATGTACAAACAACAGTTTAAGTTATTCACCCCCAAGGAAAACCAGCTATCAAGGAAGACGACCATGTCTTAGTATTGGTGGCGCTGTGTACACCATGTTGCTTGCTCCCTGCACATCCCTGGGTTAACACACATACAAACTAGAGAAGCCTTTCTTTACCACATGCCTGAAAGCCCATCAGGTACTCAGAACAGCATAGGAACTCTCCATCGCTGTCGTTTCTCCACCCCATACTTCTCTACCCCATTGCAGTAACTGCACTGTGAACACTTGAAAAGAAATTATACTGGGTGGATAATGATCAGAGTACATTATATACATCAAAGAAGTTTCTAATGAAGCCCATTATTTCATACAGTTAATCTACGGTAATAATAATGAGTAAGAAAAATATTATAAAGGTCCAAGCATATAGAGGACTAGGGGACCTTAAAGGAGCTTGTATGTCTCTAGTCACACACCTTTACTTACTTATAGAGCTTCCTTTTTTAATGTTTTCTTTACTCCCAGTTCAGATTATGCTTGTTTTAAACTTTCTAAAGGCCATTTCAAGGGAATTTTCTTTCCTCACCCCACCCTCCCCAAGCCATGGGTAAAGAACCCACAGGAGTCATACTTAGGCTTCTTGGGATCCAGACACTCCTTGAAACTTGTTGTATTTGAGCTTTCTCAGAAAAGGATTCTCCTAGGAATCTGCATCATCTCTAAATGTTGAAAACCACTGCCCTAGAACATTATGTAAACTGAAATTAGGTGAACTAGCCTTTTCAGTTACAATTAAATTTCAATTAGGTCCTTGGAGATTGACACTTTTGGTATCACAAACCCAAGATTAGATATCGATGCACATCACTCCTCCTGCCCCCACGTTGTGAGTGCACCCACTGCTGTGTTTTAATGTCCGGAATTATTTGGCCTTTACAGTTTTATATCCTTTGCTACATATTTGTGTGTTGAACCTGGAATGTTCAATGCAAATGTTTTAAATCCTATGCAAAACTATTCTACTTAATTCTTTACATTTCACATAAAAACAACTTACAGACATAGAAGGTGAATATCACTCAGGTGGAAAGGGCATGTATCAATACATAACAGTTTCAATTGAGCAAAAGTAAATCTACAATATGTAGATTAATACATATTGTAAAATTGCATAGCAGATTGTAATTCAATCAAGAAGGAGGGACCTTTTGACAGTTATGGACATTTATGAATTTTACATGATCTGTGAAATTAAGTTTTTAGGCTTAATATTAAATTTTGGATTGCTTTTATTGTTTTGCTTTAATATATCAAGATAAACTTATATCCCCCTCCCCCAATTTGCAATCTAACTTGGTTTTCTCTTAAACTGTAACACACTCTGTCATTTTCCCTCCATCTTGGATTCCCGTCACTCCGTCACTGACAGCCTGTATATCATTTGATATCAGGGAGAGAGTTTATTAGTCTTCACATGTGTTAGTCAAGCCGATAACTTTCTATCACCAAAATTTAATTTTAGCTAATTTTGTGAATAACTGCTCCTTGGAGTTCAAATAGAAAACTTACCTGCTCTGATAGAAGAATATAAGCACCTGATAAAGTTTTCAAAGATCAGAATCCATTTTTGAGAGGTTTTTTAGGTCTATAACATGCAATAGATAAGGGATAATTCAGCATATTTTATAGAAAAATTATTAATTGCATTTCCCCTTTTCCTCCAAAGATTAATAAGAAATCGTGCTCAAAAAATTGGGGAGGAGGAAAGAAAAACTGAAGAAGAAGAGGGAGAGGGTTGGAGATGAAATGATAGAAATATGCCCAGTGCAGTGATTTCCTGTCCTGGCTTGTAAAGAAGACATGAATATACAAAACTACAGTCTTTGTGCACTAGCCCCTTTTATTTTGTATTTCCAATGCGTAAATTCTTGTCATAATTCACACATAATCTAATTATCTTTCCTACAATTTTCATTAACCCTATCAAGTTATGAGAAAAATTTAAAGCACAAGGGAGCCCAGGGGTCTCTTGCACTGGTGTGCACTGTGAGCCAGGCTGCAGAGTCTGCACTGGTGTGCACTGTGAGCCAGGCTGCAGAGTCTGCACTGGTGTGTACTGTGAGCCAGGCTGCAGAATCTGCACTGGTGTGCACTGTGAGCCAGGCTGCAGAATC